GTTTTCTATTCATTAAGGCAGATTTATTTTGGTCTTCTAAATGCACTTTGGCTGGTTTTTTTTTTTTCAATTATTCCAAATGCAGACAAGAAATTGGAAGTGTGGTCATTTCTTGAAAGGCTTATTAAGAATAGTGAGCCTAATTTAAAGTATAAGTTCACCCTTTCACAAACAAATGAAAAGGGGAACTAACACTCTATATTCACATCAATGGATGATTAGCTGTTAGTGCCCTCACAGCCAGGTATGCCCTGCTCTTCTTGGACTTCTTTACAAAAACAAAAGCGCACCAACCTTGCGCATTACCTCAGTGAGTAAAGGGTGAATTTATTAAATTGAGATGTATACTCACAAAAGTAGTAATAGTTCTGAGGAAGAAGGGATAACCCTTCGAAACGCGTCAGCTTCATCCTGAGGGTCTCCACTCTCAATGGGTCCCGCACATGTCTGCTATCCTAGTGCGCTGATGTTGGATTTTATATGCTTTTAATATTGCTACTTTTGTGAGTATACATCTCAATTTAATAAATTCCCCCTTTAGGGTAGGTTCACACATGTGCGGGTGGTGCCGCTGCGGATCCGCACAAAAATCTGTGGAGCAACCCACACAGAAGAATGCGGACCTGCGGGCGGGTGCCATTAATTCTAATGGCACGCTGTCCGCACTGGAAATTGCAACCGCACTGAGATCGGAAATTCCTGAGCAGGCTGTGGTTTCCAAAGAAGTACAGGGACTTCTTCCCTGCTTGTCCCAGGACACGGGAGTCCATTAAAATGAACGGGGTCTTGTGCCCGCGCAAAGCACAGCCCGCAGGAATGCACATATGTGAACCAGGGCTTACTCACTGAGGTAATGCGCAAGGTTGGTGTGCTTTTGTTTTTGTTCTTGTTACAGCTGTTATTGGGCATCCCCAGCCTTGTGTTAGAGCTGCACAACCTTTGATCGATCGGCCACCGGATGAACTTTCATTTATGGTTCAACCCGTTGAATTCTGATCTGGGTCTCTGAGCAGGTGGTTTTGTTTCTGTTTCCACCCTTCTTGGACTTCTTTCCTTAGGGCTTCCAGGATGAATCAGAGCGATTCGTATTGGTTAAAGTGGTCACTAATTAGAATCGCTCTGATCCATTTTGGAAGCCCTAAGGAAAGAAATGGAAGAAGAGCAAGAAGAGCAGGGCTTCTATGGGTGTGAATCCAGTCACCCATAGACGTAAGTAACGGGGTGAAACGGGGGGGGGGGGGGGGGGGTTGTGGGGGGTGTTAGCTCACCATTTCTATTTATGTGAAAAAGGTGAACTTACACTTTAATGTACTCATAAACCCTAACATGGTGACATTTAGTTTGCTACAGCACCATGTATCAGAAATGACTTTCGTGTATTTTTCTTATAAAAAATATACTATTTTCAACTATTGTTCACTATTTTTCAGATCTCAATGCTGGTCTCCTCCAGTCTCTTTCACCCTGGGCAGCAATATGTGAGCACACCAAAGAGGCCCCTGGCCTGGCCTAACCAGCACCACCCGTAGTCCATTGCATACCTTCCTAGGCCTCCAATAGACCTCAGAAGCAGCCTTGCCCGTGGCCCATTCATTTCCAAAGGACATTCCCATCTAGTGGTCAGGGGAAGGAGGAGCCCAAACAACAGAAAGCCTTTTATCTACTTACTGAACCAGTTCATTTACATAGATGAACCTTCATCCATCCTAGTGTTGACAACATAGTCACTGGGAACTTTTAGACTTGCATGTGTAGCCAGATGAGGGAACGCTCAATAGCTCTGGCCATGGTTCCATGGCTGCTCAGCAACGCTGTCCAGCCATGGAACCATGGAGGAAGTTCAGTACTGGTTCTAATATAGATCTATGAAGTCATTGTTTTCTTTGAGTCCATCCAAGTTTTATCCTATGTTGACCCTGATGAAGTGAAAGTGATGATGTCCCGGAAATGTCTTGGATGTTTTTATATGACTTTTTTTTATCAACATTCAAAGTGTTACTAAACCCACAACAGTAAAATCAGTCTGTAATTGCAGTAAAGTATGCTTGTTATACTCACTGTGAAACCTAAGGGCTTAATCCTCTGCATTGTGTAAAAAGGATGTTTGATCCTGTCTTCTCTGATCCTCCTCATCTTCCACAGTCCCCAATCCATCTGCTGATAGAACAGAGCCTTGGGGGCAAGCTGCACATACTCAGTTTGTTGTGTATTGTTAGAGAGTTTTTTTTTCTTGGGAGAGTGCATGTGATAAGCACAGAGCCAATTGGCAATGTCCAGACAGAGGGTCATGGGTTATGCAGCCTCTTAGGACAATAGGAGGAGAATTATTATTACTATTATTATTATTATTACAGGATTTATACAGCACCAACAGTTTGCTCAGCGCTTTACTGTCAAGGTCCTACCTTTTCCCAGAGGTTATGCTGCTCCATGTGCTGGCATCCATCTTGGGTTTCTGCAAAGCATGGTGGGAGCCTTTTATGCTTTCAGGCCTCTGCGGTCCATCCCCCAGAGGGGTGTGGTTGAGCACATTTAAGCCTGTTGTCTGCACTTGCTCTTTGCTTTCGTGTCCTGTTTGATAGTGTTGTTGCAAGCTCTTATTCTACTCTCGTGGCTCTCCTGGAAACTGACTCGGTTTTGTCTAGACTATTCTCAGTCTTATCCCTTTATCTGACCTCCCGTTGCTGAACCCGGCTTGTGACCCGTGTATTCTTGTCTACCGTTCTGTACTGTCTGTCCCGCTGTTATCGACCTGGCCTGTCCGACTACGCTATCATTCTTATCTGGTTCCTACCAGCTATACGCGATTGGTGGCGGCCATTACCACAGCTGGGGTTTCTCGGGGGCCACGACCTGGTCCCTGACATTTACAATATAAAGGGAGACAATACAGCAACAATACAGTTCAATACAAGAGGGTTAGGAGAGAATTAAACTCCTCCTACAAGCTTTACCCTGTGCTCTGTTGGACACTGATAGAAGTCATAAGACTGCTTTAACTGCTGATGAAAAAAGGTATTTAGCAGTTTATATTTACTAAAATAATTGCACTTCCATGTTGTGTGTACTGTGGGAGACCAGATATAGTAAACGCAGAGTCTACTTTAAACTGATGTTGGACTCTTTAATCTGGTTTTGGTCTGGCGCTCCTTTCTGTATTTCTAACCTAGAGTTGATGGCACATTCCTTTCAAGCTGCAAATGGTGAAGTCAGTCATAAAAAGCAGAGAGAGCTAAGTGGAGGAGCTCATACTTTTACTAGGGAGTTTGTCAGAGTCCTGCATGCCATGCAAATAGAATACAAGTAGTCCCAAAAGTCCTATGCTTCCCCCTTTAAAGGGGAACTCCACTCTCTCAATCAGCATGGACTATTTATAATCCTTATGCTGCTAGCATTTGTAAATCAGTATTAAAGTATATCAGATTTACTTCTTTTAACCTTTTTTTTTTGCATTCCTTCATTTACTTCCTGGTTTCCTGCCTAGGCAAATGATGTTGTACATCCCATGAGTCTTCAGGAGTGGAGGGAGGGTTCTCAACTCAGCCAATGCTTGAACTAAGGACAGATGGATTCCAGGAAGTAAATGCTACATGAATTATCTGCCCTTACTCAAGATGGCCACTGCCGAAAATGCCAGGGGGTGTTTTTCAAAAAGATTTCTCAAAAAAATAAAGCATGGAGACATGGATAGATGGGTGGGTTTGCTTTAACCACTTATACCATGTATATAAATGGCCAGACAGGACCAGTGCAGGAGCAGGGTGCCGTTCATAAATGGTTCCCGCCATTTTAGCCTGTGCACGCTCCCTGGGAGCACGCGGCACCACAATCCAGAGGACACAGCGGAACACCAATCGCTGTACGGGACCTCTGTGTGAGGTCCCGATCATGTGATCACTTATTGGCACGTGCTCTCAGCACATACGTCTTTTTTTTAATAGAACGCAAATGTGTGGCCGCTCAGCGGTCTAGGCCCAGACGCCGGGAGGCCGCACATTTGCGTTTAGCCCGGCGTGAAGAGGTTAAGACCAGCCCATAGCAGATGTACTGCTACAGGATGGCTGCGCTTTGTAAAATCACGTAAATATACGTGATTTTGCTTTTCCTGGTAGGGGGCGCGCACCACCCCTACTTGCGCTACCATTGGCACCTGAGGATGTCAGTCATTGGGTCCCGGCCAGCAATTTCTGGCTGGGTCTCAGTGATCGTTGGTGAAGCTGAGAAGGGAGAGATCGGTGTGTAAACAATAATAAAAAAACACAGAAATGATCAAATACAACCAAAAGAATGCTCTATTTGAGGGGGGGGGGGGGGGGGGACATAAATTCCATTTATGTACAGCGTTGCATGACAGCACAATTGTCAGTTAAAATAGTGCAGCATCATATTGCAAAACATGGCCTGGTCAGGAAGGGGGGTAAATCCTCCGGAGGGCAAGTGGTTAGGGGCTCATTCACAACAGCACATTATTGTGCTCAGTTCTTGCTTTTTTCATTGCATTCATATGTTATGTGCTGCAAAGGTCACAATGCCTTACAGAGTATCAGAATGGGCTGGGTGAGAATGTAACATGGTCTCCTGTCTTTCCAGGCCATTGGTGTGAATTGAAGCCAGAAGGGCAATTCCCTTGTTCTTGTGTTAGGGCCATATTGGGTAACACTGGTGTGAATGAGACCTTACGCCTTCTGTCACTGACAACAAGTATACAGCAGGTATAGTCAGCCATTGTCGGATGCTACTTGTTCTACACCACAGACTCCCAAAGTATTCCAATCACTGGAACACCATGACAGTCATGTGGGCGAACAGTGCACCGTCACCACACATCAACACGACCTAGCCACACCCCGCTTTCCTCTGATTGGGTGATCCTGGGAGCTAGGAGGAACTCAGAGCCCAAGTAGCAAAACACGGGGAACGCTTCTTCTGTTACACTTTTTTGTGTGCTTCTAATTTGGTTCCGGGCACGTGTTTCCTTTCGCAAATCCTGTGTGACAGGGATGGGGAAGAAGAAAGCAGCATGTGGTTTAGGAAGAGCTCTAATCCGAGATCGAACTCAGAGCCAGAGGGGACAGCGGGTGAAAGACTCCTGGGTGAGTGTGCCCCTCTGACACGTGTGCCTGGCTGGGGAAGGGGGCCCATGAACGTGACACCCCTTTATAACTACATAATCCTCTGTGGGGTTGTCACCTACTGATATGTGTCTGATGGAGATTGAAACATCGCGACACCCCTTTATTTCCAGACTGCCTCATCCTTTATTTGGGTTGTCACCCTCTGATATGTGTCTCATACATCATGACACCCCTTTATTTCCTGGCTTCCTCATCTTTTGTGTGGTTGTGACCCCTTGAAATGTGTCTGGGTGCTGATAGAAAATGACACCCTTTTATATTTAGGCTGCCTCATCCTTTCTGTGGTTGTCACCCTCTGATATGTATCTGATGGAAGCTGATACATCATGACACCCCTTTACTTCCAGGCTGCCTCATCCTTTGTGTGGTTGTGACTCCCTGAAATGTTTCTGATGGGTGCTGATAGAAAATGACACCTTTTTATATTTAGGCTGTCTCATCCTCTGTGGGGTTGTCACCCCTTGATATGTGTCTGATACATCATGACACCCCTGTATATCTAGACTTCTTCATCCTCTGTGTGGTTGTCACCCCCTGATATGTGTCTGATGGGGACTGATACATCATGACACCCCCTTTGTATCCAGACTGCCTCATCCTTTGTAGGGTTTTCACCCCCTTATATGGGGACTGATGCATCATGACACCCCTTTGTATCCAGATGGCCTCATCCTTTGTGGGGTTGTCACCCCCTGATATGGGAACTGATACATCATGACACCCCTTTGTATCCAGACTGCCTCATCCTCTGTGGGGATGTCACCCTTGATATGGGTCTGGTGGGGACTGATACATTATGACACCCCTTTATATTTAGGCTGCCTCTCTGGGCTTATTTCCCCCTAATATGTGTCTGATGGGTGCTAATAGAAAATTACACCCTTATATATTTAAGCTGCCTCATCCTCTGTGGGGTTGTCACCCTTTAATATGTGTCTGATGGGGACTGATAGAACATGACACCCCTTTATTTCTAGGCTGCCTCATCCTTTGTGTGGTTGTGACCCCCTGATATGTGTCTGATGGGTGCTGATAGAAAATGACACCCTTTTATATTTAGGCTGTCTCATCCACTTTGGTGTTGTCGCCCCTTGATATGTGTCTGATACATCATGACACCCCTGTATATCTTAACTGCCTCATCCTCTATGGGCTTATCACCCTCTGATATACAGTTGTGATCAAAAGTTTGCATACCCTGGCAGAAATCATGACATTTTGGCATTTATATTGAAAATATGACTGACCATGCCAAAAAACTGTCTTTTATTTAAAGGTAGTGATCAAATGAAGCCATTTATAATCGCATAGCTGTTTGGCTCCTTTTTAAATGATAATGGTAACAGAAATCACCCAAATGGCCCGGATCAAAAGTTTCCATACCCGGAATGTTTGGCCTTGTTACAGACACAAAAGGTGACACACACATAGGTTAAATTAGCAATTAAAGGTTTGTTTTCTACATAGGTGACTTTTTACATTGCAAATAGTGTCTGTGTATAAATAGTGAGTTTGTTAGCTCTCAGGTGGATGCACTGAGCGGCTATATAATAAGCCATGAGATGCAGGAAAAGAACTGTCAAAAGACATGGTTAAAAAGGTAATGGAACTTTATAAAGGTGGAAAGGGATATAAAAAGATATCCAAATCCTTTAATATGCCAGTCAGTACTGTTCAATCACTTATTAAAGAAGTGGAAAGTTTGGGGATCTCTTGATACCAAGTCAAGGTCAGGTAGACTGAGGAAGTTTGCAGCCATAACTGCCAGAAGAATTGTTTGGGATACAAAGAACAACCCAAAGAAAAGGTAACGTCAGGAGAAATACTGGCTGCTCTGGAAAAAGATGGTGTGGTTGTTTCAAGGAGCACAATATAACAATACTTGAATAAATATGAGCTGTATAGTCGAGTTGCCAGAAAGAAGCCTTTACTGCACCAGTTACAAAAAAGCCTGGTGAGGCGTGTCAAGATGTCAGGCATATTGTAACTGGGCTTTTTTGTGGCATTGGCGTAGTAAAAGCTTCTTTCTGGCAACTCAGCCATACAGTTAAATTTTTGTTCGAGTATTTTCATATTGTTTCTAAAAGGAAAAAAAAAAAGCAAACACACCATATTTTTCCAGAGCACCCTATAATTTTATTATGAGGTTACCTGTGGGTTTTTCTTTGTATCCTGAACAATTCTTTTGGCAGTTGTGGCTGCAATCGTTCTTGGGCTACCTGACTTTGGCTTGGGATCAAGAGATCCCTGAACCTTACACTTCTTAACAAGTGCTTGAGCAGTACTGACTGGCATATTCGAGGCTTTCGATATCTTTTTGTATCCCTTTCCATCTTTATAAAGTCCCATTACCTTGTTGTGCAGGTCTTTTGACAGTTCTTTTCCGCTCCCCGTGTCTCAGTATCTAGCCTGCTCGCTGCATCCACCTGAGCTAACAAACTGACTATTTTCTATACACAGACACTAAATGCAATGTAAAAAGTCACAAAATGTGAGAAATGAACCTTTTAATTGTAATTTTAACCCGTGTGTGTCACCTTGTGTGTCTGTACCAAGGCCAAACATTCCAGAACATGTAAACTTTTGATCATGGCCATTTGGATGATTTCTGTTAAAAATATGATTTAAAAAGGAGCCAAACAACTATGTGATAATAAATGGCTTCTTATAATCACCAAACTTAAACAAAAGCCAGTTTTGTGGCATGATCAGTCATATTTTCAATATAAATGCCATAATTTCACGATTTCTGACAGGGTATGCAAACGTTTGAGCACAACTGTATGTCTGAAGGGGACTGATGCATCATGACACCCCTTTATTTCTAGGCTGTCTCAGCCTCTGTGGGGTTGCCACATCCAGATATGTGTCTGATGGAGGCTGGTAGATCTTGATGAATCTTTATATTTAGGTGGCCTTATCCTCCGTGCAGTTGTCACTAGTGGTGCACAAAATGAAAATTTTGGTGCTGAAACCGAAAATTCAGAATGCACTTGGCTGAAAACTGAAAAGTCTGCTTATGTGGGGAATCTCAATTTTTTTTTTCTTGTAATGCGTGGTTTTATTTATTTTTAAGCTTATGATTTTATTGCTATCACATAGGGGACCCAAATTCCCCTATGTGATAGCATATAAGTGACAGGTGCTCTTTGTAGGGGGGGAGGGGCAGTGTGTGCAAGAAGGGGGCAGGAGAGGAGCAGTGTGTACAGTGAAGGAGCAGTGTATACAGACAGGCTCCCTCACTTACAGCCGCTAAATGTCATTGCCGGTTTTTAAATGCCATTTCCGGCTTTTTTTTCCTTTACTTTATAGCTCCGAGAAGGAGCTGTCATTCGTCCTGCTGCTAAAGTAAACAAAGGGGCGAGGTCATTGGGTAATGTCACTGGGTGACCCCGCCCCTTTGTTTACTTTAGTGGCAGGGTTAATGACAGCTCCTTCTCTGAGCTATAGTGAAGAAAAAAAAGTTGCCAATTGCATTTAAAAATGGCAATGACATTTACCAGCGGCAAGTGAGGCTGCCTGTATACACTGCTCCCTCACTGTATACACTGCTTACCTTCTCTCCTGCCTTTCTTGGACCTCCCCCAAAACCCCCATCTGCAGTACACAAAGCCCCCCCAACCCCCTCGGCCTAATAGTCAGTCCGCCCCTCATTATCGGATCCTCATTATCGGCACCTGTATCAGCTCACTTTTTCCTATTGGCAAAATGCCGACAGCGCTATATTGGGCAGATATGTTTCAGCCACCAAAATTTCAGTGCATATGCTATGCACAGATATCTTTTATCTTTCTAATAAATGTGAGTGCAGTTCTTAATCTACATCTCCTCTGGATATATAGTACTACACTTAGGTGGTGGCGCTTCCTGTGTTTCTCTTTTTGCTACAGATGAGTGTGCATCCAGTTCTCATCCAGGGAGCCACAGCCATGCTAAAGAGGAAATTTTATGACTGATATACTTACAATCCATTTTTTTTTGTGACTATTTATAGGACTCTACCTCCATGGGACTATAAATATACTTCACCATCCATACTGCCCCCTCCCTTTTGTCACCTTAGTCTATTTAGTGCCATAATATTGTTTTCATTATATCCTGAGCTCTGTTGCCTGTGTCGGCCCAGCTCCCTCATCACAAAGTTTGTTGACAGCAGTGGGAGCCGATGGCTGTCTATCTGCCCTGCGAGGAAGGACAAAGCCTTGGGAGCCGCCACTCTCATGCACAGCACTGGATTGCGATGGGGCTCAGGTAAGTATAAGCGGGGGCTTTGTGGGGGAGCTGGATACAGAAGTTTTTTTACCTTCATGCATAGAATGCATGAAGGTAAAATACTTTAGCCTTTAGAACCACTTCAAAGACGTTCAGAAGCACATGTAAAGGAGTTTAGAATGTTCTCAGAAGTTTCTAAAATGAATTTCATATATAACCTGAGTGCTACATTGGTACTTCTTTAAAGGAGGTAAAGCAGATGTTTAACTTTAGTGTGGTTGAACTTTGTCCTACATAGCAGGAGCAGTTCACTGGTTTATTTCACTTGTTCCTTGGTGTTGCTATTTAATCCACAACTTCAAGGATCTCCAGGGACTTTGTTGATTTATTTTTTCAATTTGGAGCAATGTAATAGACAGAAGTTTCAGAGATACCAAAACTACATTTCTGGAAACCATGCACAGTTAACAACACATACTGTACAGCTTAGTGTATCTGGGTAACTAGACATTTGTGTTCAGAAAGTATAGAATGGTATTTATGTTAATGAAGTAATAGAATGCATTTACTGGTCACACTTACTGGTCTGTTTTATTAGCCTTTCTAACTCGCTTTGTATTCTTTTGCAGCTGCACACGAGTGAGTTGAATGATGGCTATGACTGGGGCAGGCTTAATCTCCAGTCAGTGACAGAACAGAGCTCTCTTGATGACTTTCTTGCCACAGCAGAGTTGGCAGGGACAGAATTTGTTGCAGGTGAGCTAAACAGCTATAACATTCTTTCCATTAATGTACACTGATGTCCTTGTAAAGCAGAGAAATAAGCTGGAGGTATGCAAATTAAATTGATAAAGAGGAGATATGAAAACTTGCTTTCTTTCCACTTAATAAAATGTTGATTAAAAAGTGTTTCTGAAGGTGCTTAGACTTGTATTGCACTTCACTGAAATATGTTTAAAGTGATTCTGTCACTAAATAAATAAAAGATAAAAAATAATGCTGTCAGGTATAAAGGGCATGCCTGGATTAGCTACCTGGTAGTGTGGATTTCTGCTCCAACCTGCTCCCAACCCATTCCTATTAGCCCATTGCTATCCTAGGCTGTCTCAGCGACCATTAGGAATTTTTTAGATGGCAGGAAGGGAAAGGTAAGCCCATTGGAATGGTCCTGAGACACTGCTGCAGGTACAGGGAAATTACCACTGCAGAGATGATGGTGTTGGTGGGTGGGTGGGGGTTCAGAGGACTCCGAATTAAGAGCTAAAACAGCAGTCAACAGCACAAGGGACATTTTGCATTTATAGTAAAATAGAACCATATGCAAAACTTTTTTTTTTTTTTCAGTTTTGGATAGAGTGGAGATGGATTAGAAAACCTGTCAGGTTTTTATTGCTGTCTGAGCCCCTGTTGGGTAGATTCACCCTCTCTTTTTGTCCTGTTTACCATTATCAGTAAAAGTAAAAGAAAATCCCGAATTTTGGGTTGTCCCCAGAACAGTAAAGAAGGGAAATCTTCAAATTAGGATGCTAGTTCTGGGGACCCGGGTCCCCAAGGAATTCTTTTAATTTTTATGGATTTCCTCTCACTTGTTTTGGCTATGGGTAGTAAGTGGAGGTCCCAATAGGACACAGATAGTAAAGAAAACCTGACGGGTTATAACCCTCCCTTACTCTATCCAACATGGACAAACTGTGCCCTCTTTCTTGACACTCTGCATCAATACAACATACTGAGTGCTGCTCCTATTGCATGGGATACTTGAAATTTGACTTATTTTAAAAAGCAGTAACCCATTCACACAAACATAAAATACGATTTCTGAGGGTATTCTGTACACAAGCAGTGTACAAAATTCCTCCAAGTTGCCTTATTGCAAGGAAGTGATGTTTAATTTTTTTGATGGTTGAAAAATGATAATCTTCATGTTGGACCAAAAAAGTCTTTTTTTTTTTTTTTTTTTTTTTTTTTTTTTTTTTTTTTTTTTTTTTTTTATAGCGTTGACTTTCAAAATTGGCTTGTGTAGTCATGATATATAGTAAACATGAAAATGACCTTTAAAAGAAATCTGTACTAAGGTGATATATATGCCAGTATTTTTAATCTAGATATCTGAAAATGCTAGTTGCTTGGCAATCATGCAGATCCAGTACCCTCAATATTTTTGTTATTGGGCTGGAACAAGCATGCAAGTAGGAATTTTGACTTTACGAGCTACATGCTGGTTCCTATTAAGTAACTAAAAGTATTAAAACAGTGGTAGCCAATAACTTGCATCTGCAAAAGAAGGTCAGTAACTGTAACTCCCGCAGCTTTAATTTAAAGTATTTCTAAAGCCAAAACATTTTGCTTTTTTGCTTTTTGAATAGATTAGGGGAGGGCTAATATCCCTAGCTAATACCCAGTTGTGGGTATTTATTTGTGTTTTTTTTTTTTTTTTTGCCGTCTGTATCTTATTAGGAAGGTGGTAAGAAGGAATCATGTGAGAGACATGTTCTTAGACAGTTATTACTAGAACAAGTGTTCCCATTAGAAGGCTTACACTCTGTTTCTGTTTAGGTGGCAGCACAAAATATTTGGATTTTCCCTCACTTTTGGACCAGGAATAGTGGTGACCAGGGCAACTAGAGGGAATCTTCACAGTAGGAACATACAGCGGTTAAAACCTGGCAGGGGTTCTAACTCCTACAAAACTGGAAAAAAACATGTTGGCTTTAGATATACTTTCGTGCAGAATTTCACCCAAATGAAGAACTTGTGCTTTTTTTTTTTTTCCTCTCCCTCTCCTCTGCTGCCATATTTGGAATTTCTTTTTTGCCCGGGGAAGGGGGGGGGGACAAGTGACCGAAACCTCTGCCCCAGCTTGCTGCAGTGCATCAGTGTGAAAGCAGCCCTATACTATTATGCCCAGTGTATTGCTTCATAATGACCTGAAGATTTATCCTTTCCTGCTGCTGGCACCACTCTGGAGACCGCTAGCTGGGATAAGAGGTGGAGTGCAGCTGATATGCTGATATTACTCCACATGGGACAGGAGCCAGTACTACAGAAGTGGCATCGGCTTATGCGGCTCTTGCTCCCTACTACAGTTCTAACTTTATAGCCTTATAGGGGGCTTGGAACAGGAAGAGTTAATTTACATTTGCAGTTTGGGGGGGGGTGGTAAAACGCCATACTTAAGACGTGTTTTTGCCACTTCCGCCCCAACCGCACTACCTTTAGATGCTGTGGCCAGGAGTGTACACATGTCGCAGCTGCCACAGGAGTTATATTCCCTGTCGTGTTTGGTGTGTGTTGCACCAGTAAAGCATGACCCATTTGAGTGAATGAGGCTACTCTTCAAGTGCCCTACAACTTTGTGTAGTACAGCAAACAAGGGGTTAAAGCAGGCAGCGTTGTGTTGCTTTCTCTCCACCTACTTTTACCACTTGGACCCCACAGAAGCATGCAGTTGTGGGGTGCTTGCAGGGTGGCCCCATTTACTTTAATGGGTCGTGATTGGCAGGCTGTAGCATCATCTAAAAGCAACAGGAAGTTTAATGCCTGCACTGACGTGTACATGTTTGGCTGATGGGGCGGTAAACCTGTGATTAAACCGCAGGGTTTTACCACCTCACTAATTTGTGTCAATGAGCCTTAAGGGTGCTGCTGCTAAATGCAACTAAGGGCTCATTCACAAGTGCAGCAAGTGGTGCCTCCTCACCACTTGATTTAAACCAATCATTGTCATGCAATGCATGCCATTGCGACACGGTGGTATGGAAATTTAAAGGTTTAAATCAGGTGTGTGAGGAGGCGACACTGTGCCCTGTGATCCTTGTCTTCTCCCATGTTGTTCAGGTAGATCTCCACCTTTTTAAGGTTGCCTTCCCCTGACCTAAACCTATATGCAGACACTGTACTGCGCTTTCTCTCCCTTCCTCCTATATCCTAAAGATCAACACATGTTGATGGGGCCCCCGAAAATTTTAGTTCAGACCTGAAGATGAGATAAAAAATATATTAAATTATGCTTGCATGTCTGACCAGTTTCTGGTATCTAGTTTCTGTTTTAGTTAGAATTTTTTTGTGCAGAGAAAAGGTTAAAATGACTTGTTCATCATTCATACTTTTTCTCTATTGTTTTATTTGAACTTCTCCTTCCATTTCTTCTCTAGAGAAACTGAATATCAAATTTGTCCCAGCTGAAGCTAGAACTGGTCTGCTAACATCTGAGGAGTCCAACAGAATAAATAAACTCCATGAAGAGAATAAACAGTTTCTGTGTATTCCAAGGAGGTGGGTATATTATGGTTCTAAATCCTATGTGTGTGTTTGAGCAAAAATGAACTACATCTGTTTGTTTATAATACAGATGTATAAAAAGTCCTTTGTAGGTGTAAAGTTTTTTTTTTTTTTTATTTTTATAGGGTTTGTACCGTTCATATGTAGTTCAGCTCTGGAGACATTGTTACTGTGTGAGTATTAAAAATGACGACTGTTTGTTTCTGTTTGTATCCTACACTTTAGGCCTGTCTGGGATGAAAATACCAGCGCAGAGGATCTCCAGCAAGCAGAAAGGGAGGACTTCTTGAAGTGGAGGCGCCAGCTTGCTATGTATGTATTTGTATAATGGGGCACATATTTGGCTGTAGTATTCCTTCTGAAATAGAATCTTAACTACACCATAAAATACACTGCTCAAAAAAAATTGAAGGAACACTTTCAAAACACATCCGATCTCAATGGGGAAAAATATCATGCTGGATATCTATACTGATATGAACTGAGTAATGTGTTAGGAACGTAAGAAGGTGAAAAAGGAAAGCGCTTCTAAGTGCAGTCTTCCAGGTCAACTTTAATAAAAAGCGGTTAAAAACACTTACAATGTAGTAGTAAAAAAGGGCTCTAATGTAATCCGTGTATGCACACACACACACACGCATAAACCCATATAAATGCATTCACATACGTTGGCACATGCAGGCATAATGCCCATCACAAAACAAATTGTACGGTACTATGGGGTTATGCGTTTGTGTGCATACACGCGCGTGCTTTTGTGTGTGTGTCTATGTACATACACATATATTGTTTCCTCTCTGCCTGCGGCTACATGCATGCGTTTATTTAGTCATCCTTTGTTTAAACTGTACTTATGTACTATGATTATGTTGTAACCGTTTGACTATAATTATTATATTTTTATTTTCTAATATTTCCAGGTTACCTATGTGTGCCATTTGTCACACCACAGCAGATACCCGTCTGCGCACTCAATTCCAACCCCCCCCCCCCCCCCCTTCCTCTCATTTTCCCTCTTACCCATCTCTCAATTGTAATTATAATTACATTATTATCCTTATTTTTATATATCGTCTTAGATGTTCAAATCCTGTTTTTTAACTATTCTTCAGTATGGTATACACCACCACCCAGTCCTTACAAACATAGCTCCGTTTTTTGCCTCCGTTTTATTTCTCTTTGTTTGTTTTTTTTTATTTCTTGCTTTCCCAGTTTCCTATTGTTTCAGACCAAATAGTCCGCTTCCAGCTCTCTTTGAGTAACTGCCTGTCTCCTGGAATCTCCTCTATGCTCTTGAGACTGCTGGGAGACACAACAAACCTTCTGGCAATTGCACATTTTGATGTGCCATCCTGGAGGAGTTGGACTGCCTGTGCAACCTCGTTAGGGTCCAGGTATCACCTCATGCTGCCAGTAGTGACACTGACCCTAACCAAATGCAGAACTACTGAAAACAGTCAGAAAAGATGAGTAGGGAAAAAAATGTCAGTGGCCTCCACCTGTAAAACCATTCCTGCTTTGGGGATCTTCCCATTGTTGCTCATCTAGTGCATCTATTGTTAATTTCAATAACACCAAAGCAGCTGAAACTGATTAACAACCCCCCTCAGCTACTTAACTGATCAGATCAATATCCCAGGAGTTTAATTAACTTGATGCCATACTCTAATTACAAAGTGTTCCTTTAAATTTTTTTTGAGCAGTGTACATATGTGCAACTGTTTTACCTGCCAAATGGATTCATAATCTTTTTTCCATTCAATTTTCTGAATCCTTCCCTACAAATCCAGCAAGGTGCACTAATGTGACTTCTTGTCACCTGCCTAGTCACTGGATTGTCATTAAATTGTCAATTTGTTCCCTGTGCTCTTTTCTTGTCTAAGCATCTTCCTGAAAACATGCTGGGTTGACAACATTTTGTAATGGAACAGATTCATAAATTTCCACTGTCTCAGTCTAATTTATATGAGAACAAGTTTCTGGATATTCTAGTAGCTTTTAGAATTCATTTAATGATTTTAATGGATACATAAGTGGACTAAAGGATTCTGTTTTACTTGCATCTGTCCTTTTTTTTTTTTTTTTTTACCGTAACAGACTTGAAGAGGAAAAAAAGCTAATTCTCACACCTTTTGAACGCAATCTAGACTTCTGGCGTCAGCTCTGGAGAGTCATTGAAAGGAGGTAATGTTAGTCTGTGAAAAAGGGCTTGATGTCATGTTCATGTAGTGGGAGAAAAGTGTAAAATAAAAACAATTCCTTTTTTTGCCAACAATTGACAAAGACCACCTGTTGATTATGAACAACTTGCTGTCATAAGTGAACAAATACTCCAGTTATTCCATCACTGGGCACGTCATCTTGCCTCTAGATCATTATAAGGTTACTTTCACACTGCTACGTTGCAAAAATGTGGCAAAGACCTTTTTTTTTTTTTTTTTTTTTTTTTTCCCATTCATTTCAGTGGGGAGGTCCATTTTTGGTGTGATTATTTATTTTCCGCACCAAACATGCAGCAAGCAGGACTGGTCAATTGCAGTTGCTTTTTTTCAATGTGAAGGGTTCCCTGCGATTAAATGGTCATGCATTTTTTTCTTGCACTTTTAATGCGAAAATGAGAGAAAAACAGATCAGTGTAAAAGCAGCCTTACTCTAAAAGTGTATTAGGGGCTCAAATTCTTTGAAAAAAGGTTTAATGTATACCAATCCGCAGGAAGAAATATATAAAAGCAATGTCTTTATTACAAATATAAAAATCCGTTAAAGGGGAATATATCCATATGCAAATTGTTACAAATACATCAAACTCCTCTGAAAGCAGGGTTATGTTGCTCTCCCAGCTGGTGTAAAACCTAATCCTATGCATCCATATACACTAAAGTAACACACAACTCTGATTCCAAATTGCACATCAGGCAAAATAAAGCTGGGGTGTGACTAGCCCAATTCTCGAAGCCTTTCCCGGAATAGTTTCCGCTTCTGCAGGAGTTTGGATGAAATGTAGGATATATAGAGAAAGGGGTACTGGAGCACTAAAAACCACCGTTACTACATTGTCTACCAGGCGAATGCCAGAGCCATCACATAGAGAAGAGAGCCATAAGTATGTGTGTGTATATTGCAGGGAATACCTCACAAGTATCTGGCAATTGAAGCTACTCCTTTTGCTGTTTACAAATTCACTGTGTGTACCACCAATCAGGATCATATAAGGTATCATGCTTTCTGTGATCAATGTCCCGCCTTATATTAAACATGGCACAATGTAACAAAGGTTACGTTCTGGATAAAGAATAAAGAAACTCGTAGGTGGTCATAGCAGTGTGCTGCTTAGGAGGACACACAATCCTCCACATGTCCATTGCTTTTATATATTTCTTTGTGTGGTTGCCTTAAAAGTCCATTTGGTATACATTAAGCCTTTATTCTAAGATCTTGATCAATATAAAGAAGATTAATCGAGTTTATCAATCACAACAAAAGGAACAGTCTTGCCACAGCTCTCTGCATATCCCAGCGGAAGTTGTTAGAGATGAAAATTACAGCTTAAAGAGACACTTCACTCCTCTCCAATGTGTGGTTTTGTTTTTTTTTATATTATTATTTCTCTCTCTCTTTCTCTCCTACTAGCCCTAGAATTTTTTTACTGTCACTCCAGTGTGTGTGGCGATAACTTATGTGAGGAGTAATTGTCATTTTTGTATATGTGCACCAGTTGCATGCATTTATATGTAGGGGCAGGGGGCTTTAATAAAAAATTGGGGTACTTATTTATTAGTCTTTAATTGATAGAGGGCTGATGTGTGATCTTCCTATGTGATAGCCTTGTTCAGGTGCCAGGTTCTCTTTAAAGAGAGTTCGACACCCCCCCTAATGTGACCCCTGCACTCTGCTGAAGACGATTGAGTACAAACTTTGCTGGATCAGCTTCTTCTGCCAGAGCAGCTTGGGTTTGACATTTCTGAACCCGGAAGTGTAAAATTGACCACTATACACCCATCCAAATCACTTTGAAGGCCAGCAGTCAGGAGAAAAAAAATATAAATGAACTCCCAGCTGCTATAGTGTAACTATTACATCATCAGCAGTGAAAAGGTTCAATAAATTTTTCAATAAACTCCTTATATGGCGAGTGTAATATCTAGTTGCAAGGAATCAATCAATTGTAAAACTGAACTCCGGATATGCAAATATAGTCTACGTACAAGGGGCATGTGTATTCTTGCTTTGAATCTTGGTGTGCTTTTTGTTTTTCTTCAACATCTGTGCAGTAATCTAGTCTGACAGTAGCTACCTGTAGCAGGCCCAATCACCACTGCTCTCTCTCTCGTTATGTAGGGTGACTGGTCTAGTTTTCTGCAGTTAGCTTGTAGTGCGTGGACTTGCTAGGTCCCGCTCACAACTTCGCAGTCTGCACAAGCTGGCGTACAGCAGTATGATGAAGTCACTGTTACTTTACAAAGTAATATCTGTGTTTAGAAAGACATTTGGTGGACACAAAGTTGATTTTTTTTTTTTTTTTTTTCATCTTTTGTGGCTACTGAGGAATATATTTAAATACATTTTTGTGCTTGGAATTCAGCTTTAAAGTAAACAGAGTGAAGTGTCTGATTTTAACAAGGCTGCAGTGTTTGCTGAATAGCATTTTTACTCATTTGGTTAATTTCACATGTTGTTTGGAACTGCACTTTTTATATTTATATTTTTTATTTCTATATTCTGACCTACTTTATCTAGGAAGAATAGCAGTATGAGGAAATTGTACTGCTGGAGAATCAAGCTTATTGTGTTACTGCAGAGAGTTTGGCTTAAGCAAGACAAAAACAAGTTGCTTTTTTTACTGTACTTAGGTCTGACAGATATTTTCAAACCCAGAAATTACTGAGTCAGTAATTTTCACTTGACATTGGCAGCCGTGGTTGTAATATGATGGAAATGTGCAGTTAGTGTGTGCAATTAGGGACAATGGACCCTCTGGTGCATCATCAAAACGCTGGACTGCCTGATCCCAGAAGAGGCACTCCGCTCTTGATGTCAGCAACAAAGATGACATCGCAAGACCCATTGCATGACAGCAGCATGGCGAATTGCAACAGGACAACTCTGGATTCACTAGGTGGTTGAGTATGTGAATTGTGCTTAAGACAGTCCAGAAAAGGTAGGAGAGCAAAAAAACACAGGAAGGAGGGGGTCAAGTTTCTCTTTAAAGGATTGTATGTAGTGTTTGGGACTCTTTCGGAAACATGAAATGTATTTTAACGTGTTCTGGTGTAAGTATTCTTACTGGAAATATTTGTGCTTTTTCTTTTTACAACAGTGATGTAGTAGTACAAATTGTGGACGCCCGAAACCCACTCTTGTTTAGGTGCCAGGATTTGGTGAGTTATTCCTGGATTGACATGCAACGTTTGTAGCTTTTTTTTTCACTGCAGGAACCTAAAATAATAGTTGGCATTGATGCCACTTCTTACTGTTTTGAGCAGCTTGTTAAGTAAAAGAGCTTGTTTAACAAACTTGTTTTTAATCTCGTGTAATTTTGAGTCTTCTACTATGATGGAAGATTAATTCTTTATTTCCAGTGTCCATCAGAATTACGCAAAGTTTAGATTTTACTTGGGTGAGCTTTGTGCTCTGCTACCTTAAAAGGTCTCTGGTACTGTTTTTCATTGACTAGCGTCTGAATAGAACATTCATGTGATATTTTCCATTGTATTAAAATGTTCTGTTCTTTGTTAGAAACAGAATTCTTTTTCTGATTTTGCTCTGTGTAGTTGTACAAGTCCAAATAACAGATATTAACCTAATCCTAGTAAATATAAGTATGTTCTTTACAAAGCTCAGAATGGCGGTGTTGATTATTATGAAATGGAAATTTTTGTATAAACAGTCTTTCCACATACAATTTGTTCATGAGAAAAAACACAGGTTTGTAAGATCAATCCCAACCACTGTTTGTTTTTAAAGGATAAGTTCATTTTTCATAACATGTTACACCCATATTCCGCGTATAACATGTTATGAACAGGCCGGCCTCCACTCTTCTCTGCTCCCCATTTGACAGCTAGCAGGGGATCTTCTCCTCCTCCCCGCTAGCTGTCACAATTTGAAAAAAAACAGTATTATATAAATGAGTGAACTACAAGCCGACAGCCTTAGCAGCTGTCTGCTTGTAGTTCTCAGTGAACTACCATGGTGCTGTGGAATGCTGTGCTTTTGTTCATTGAGTCTTCCTGTCAGTAAGCATCTGCCTGCCCGTACGAGATGTTCGGGCACACAGATACACTGACAGGTCTGCAGGAGACCTGCATGGCACCAGCGATCTGCTGATCCTTGGTGTAATGCTTTAAGAGGCTCAAGAAACAAAAAATAATGAAATAATGAATGCACATTTTTTTTTACCTGCAAAAATATGTGCATTTATTATTTTTTGTTAAAAGATGAACTTATTTAACATTTGTCACACTCAAGTCCACACTATCTACACTTCAGAATTATCCCGGGATAGTAGATTTCTTTGTACAGTGAGGGCAATATATGAGCCATATGTATAACCCCTGGCAAAAAGTGTAGAATCCCCATTCTTGGAAAATGTTCATTCAAGTGTTTAATTGTGTTGAAAAAAAAAACAATCAGACATGCCTCCAAAACTATTTTCATTTAACATCCCAACCTTCTGGCTTTAAGAAACACTTCCAAAAATTAAAAAAAAAAATAAAACTGTAGTCAATTGCAACTGTTTTTGCAGATCAAGCAGAGGAAATAAATATGGAATCACTCAATTCTGAGGAAAATATTATGGATTCACCATGTACTTGGCAGTTCTAAAAAAAAAATGAAAAAAAAAAAAAGGCGTGCACACCTTAGTGAGTTGTTGCACCAGGCTGATTTGACATGAATCATGGCTTCAACACGAAAGAAGTAATTCCAAACAAAGGAGAGGAATATAAAAATCATCACGGAATGTTGCAAAAAATGTTGGTTGTTCCCAGTCAGCTGTGTCTAAATTCTGGACCAAGTACAAATCAAATGGGAAAGTTGTAAAAGGGAAGCGTACTTGTAGACCAAGGAAGACTTTAAAGTGTCAAGATAGAAAACATAAAGCAATATGCCTTGAAAACAGAAAACAGAAAATGCACAAAGAAACAAATGGGCAGAAACTGTCAATGTCTGTGACCGAACTGTAAGACATCGCCTAAAGAAAATGGGATTTACATACAGAAAAGCCAAACGAAAACCATCATCAACACCTAAACAGAAAAAAAACAAGGTTACAGTGGGCTAAAGAAAAGCAATCGTGGACTGTGGATGACTGGATGAAAGTGATATTCAGTAAGGTATCACGAATCAGCATTGGGCATGGTGATGCTACTGGAACTTTTGTTTGTTGCCATTCCAATGAAATGTATAAAGACAGCTGCCTGAAGAAAACATGCAAATTTCCACAATCATTGATGATATGGGGTTGCATGTCAGGTAAAGGTATGGAGGAGATGACCGTCATTAAATATTCAATAAATGCACATATTTATATTGAGATTTTGGACACTTTTTTTTTCTTATTCCATCAATTGAAAAGATGTTTGGTGATGATGACATCATTTTCCAGGATGATAATGCATCTTGCCATAGGAAAAAAGCTGTGAAAACTTTCCTTCAAGAAAGACATATGTCAGTGGCATGTCCTGCAAATAGTCCGGACCTCAATCCGATTGAAAATCTATGGTGGAAATGAAATAAAATGGTCCATGACAAGGCTCCAACCTGCAAAGCTGATCTGACAACTGCAATAGGAGAAAGTTGGAGCCGGATTGATGAAGAATACTGTTTGTTGATAGTTACATTCATGCCTCAGAGAATTCAAGCTGTTATAAAAGCCAGAGGTGGTGCAACAAATACTAGAGGTGTACTGTAGTGGGGTTGTTTTTTTTTTTTTTCATGATTCCATAATATTTTCCTCAGAATTGAGTGATTCCATAATTTATTTTCCACTGCTTGATCTTCAAAAACCGTTGCAACTGACTACAGTTTTCTTTCTTTTTCTATTTTAAGTGTTTCTTAAAGCCAGAAGGTTGGAAGGTTAAATGAAAATAGTTTTGAGGCATGTCTGTGTATATTTTTTTTTTTTTTTTTTTTTTTTCCCCACACAATTTAACAATTGAATGAACATTTTCCAAGAGTGGTGATTCCATACTTTTTGCCAGCGGTTGTAGGTTGAGGTTTTGGATTGGTTTGTGTATTGTCTTCTGCCACAGTCTGTCCTACATCTGCAATAACCTTCTTCACCAGGGTACAGCAGGTCAGTGTCAGGTTTAAACTAAATTTTTCTCAATCTCTTCAGGAGCATTATGTGAAAGAATTAAGTCCTCATAAAGAAAATATCATCCTAATAAACAAAGCTGACCTGTTAACACCTGAGCAGCGTCAAGCCTGGGCAACATATTTTGAGAAGGAAGGAGTAAAGGTTGTCTTCTGGTCTGCCTTGGCAGAAGGACAGAGACTTGCTGAAGATGTTACGGTATGCTATTTGATTTTTTTTTTTTTTTTTGCATGTTTGTTGCCGAATAATGCTACAACTTTTTTTTTTTTTTTCTACTCTTGTGACATGATTTTATCTCAGCCCATAGTGTGTCACAGGAAGGCAGAGGACTGTAAAGTGTTCAGCTTTATCTGATTGGCATCACTGAGACTTTTCAGTTCTCTAAGTATCTAGGCATTAACACTAACAGGCAGTCCTTCTCAGAGGTGCTGATCACAGAATAGGTGTAAGGGCACTTTCACATTGCAGTAAAAACAGGCAGCTGAGCCACGGTTTTAAATCTCCCCCTACCCCCTATGCTAAAATTACAACCCAACAGTAATGTACGCAGCATTTTTATTTCGAACTGCTAGGTTTGACCAGCAGCACTGCCTGGTAAACTCGCCTGTTGAGTTCAACTGGCTCACAGTTGAGGTGCAGTGTGTTTTTGTTTTTTTTTTTTGTTTTTTTTTGTTTTTGTTTTGTTTTAACTACAAAAACTCCTCTGGGATTGAAATAATAAAAACTGCCAACTGCTCCTATACCACCATCTGTATGGAAAAACAAACCCAAAACTTCTTAAATTCCTTTTAGCAATCCTCACCTTATTTGCTGAATTTACCAAAAAGGAGGCTGTTAATTCCCCACCAGTCCTTTTTTTCTTTTGTGCAGAAGCTATTTAGTAAGCATCTAGTCTTCCCTGGGTATGACCAGCAAAGTGGCATTGATCCCAGTTCTTGTAAACTCTGTTTTGCACTGATCTAAATGCTATTATTGTGTTGGATGGCAGTTTGTCATGCAGTGCATTTGTGCTTGTTGCTAACATTCTGTATGCTCTTTAGCAGGACAATGAGCCAGAAAACGTGATGCAGGATAATGTCTCAGATGAGGAAGACAGTGAAGATGAAGACAGTTTAAGTGACACAGAAGCCCAAACTGGAGATCCTAATCAATACAGCTCAAATGATGAGTATGAGGACTGTGAGGATGATGAAGGCTGGCAGACATGCTCTGAAGATGCAGATGGGGAAAATGAAAGGATCTTACCAGACCCAGAGCCTAGAAGTACTGATCCAGCAGAGGTTCATAACTATAGCCATTTAGTGCAAAGAGATGAGCTGCTGGAGATCTTCAAATCTGTTCACACAGGCAAAAGGCTTAAAGAGGAACAGATCACTGTAGGACTGGTGAGTAGTGTTTGGAGAATTTTATTTTTCCAGTGTTTTATATCTTTCAAAAATGTTTCAGTACCTCCATCAGTACTAAATTGTGATCCTGATTATCAGACTGGTAAGCAAGATGAAATTATTTCATTGTATTTTCTTTCAAAACGGTAGGGGTTTTTTTTTTTTTTTTTTTTTTTTTTTTTTGTTTAATCTAAAAATATTCACTTTTTTTATTTGGTAATGTGCCTCTTCTGCTGTGTTTTTACATTTTCATGAAGTGTCTTTATGTATAACAAATACTGAAAAACAAGATTGATGCCTTACAATGTTAAGAACTCTTATGTGCTTCAGCAGTTTCATTTGAAAGTAGCAGGCCATATCTGAAATGATTAATCCCAGCCTTTTCATATGCAGAGGAAAAAGTATGGAGAGGAAAACCTTTCCTGTGCATAGAATAGAATTGCGAGCAGTTGAGCTGGCTACAGCCTATAGATTTATAGAATAACCACTAAGAGAAAAACTAAAGCACGTTTTCATTGAGAGTGCACTTGGAGTTATCACTGTACATTTACATGAACACTTGTGACTGTACATCTTATGCTTGTAGTTTCCACATTTTCTTTCACTTATTTCATATATAGCATAACTATCTGGCACACTGGTATTAGTCCTTGAGCCTAAGTTCTAAACATGCAAAACCTCTACAGTACCACTGTCATGTTTCAGCCCACAAAGCTGCATTTAGTCACAGGCAAATGCCGATACTTCGCAATACTTATACCCCTCCTCACACAAAAGTGGGTAGCAACTACAGTGCCTTGAAAAAGTGACGGCAGAAAAAGACCAAGTGGTCCATTGAGTCTTCCTTTTTTTTTTTTTTTTTTGCTTCTGTGTCCAATTGGAGAAATTTACCCTCACTTCCTGACCCATAACCAAAATAGGAAGTGAGAGGAAATCCCTTCAAATTAAAGGGATCCCTTTGGGACTCAGAGGTCACCAGAACCAGTGTGTCCCCATTGGAATATTTCCCCTTTTATTATTTTTCTTGGGACAGCCCAAAATTTGGAATTTACTTTTACTTTTACTTTCAATGATAATGGTAAACAGGACAAATAGAGAGGGTGAATCTCTTTAACGGGGGCACAGACAGCAATAGACAACAGGTGTTGTAATCCATCTTCATTCTGTCCAAAACTTAAAAAAAAAAAAGAAAACAAAAGTTTTGCCTTTAGTTTAATAGGAAGCAATTAAAAAAATGTATGTATTTATATTCACAAACACTACACACACTGTAAAAATTGTGTGTGTGTTTGGGGGGGGGGGGGGGGGGGGGAGTGATTAGCAGCTGAAATGAGCCATAGAAAAAAAATATGTAAGGCAGCTTCCATGCTGTGCTATTTCTCCTTTACACTAGGCACACACTGAATCTGACTTCGATTTCAGGTGCGACTTGCCTGACATCTGTGCGACTTCATGCACAGATGTCTATGCAAGTCTTACCTGAAACCACAAAAAAAAAATAGAGCAGAAACCATTTTTTCTAATATGTACTGCACCACAAAATCTGAGTCCCACAGGTTTGAACGGTTCCTTGACCAACAATAGGGTGCGACTTGTCAGGCAATTTGGAGCTGTCAAATCGCATAACAAGTCGTACCGGTGTGTGAACCAGGGCTTAAGCTCCATTGCATTTAACGTTGAAATTTGAAATGAATGAACTTTCCTGAACTACATTTATGTTATTCATTTGAGGAAAATTTCTATCCTTCGAATTTTCTCAGTCACAAAATGAACATTGATTAGAGGTTGTTGGGTGGCTTCAGCCTGTGGGCTAAGCAAAAAACGAAATCTAACCAACCTCCATTAATGCTATAGAGCACAGATGTACAAATCTCCTGCTGTGGTATTTCCCAATGCTTGTACAGCTGCTGAATCATATTGGAAGCAATAGGTTTCTTTTAAAAAAGAGGAAAGTGCCATAACATAGGTGAACAATAATAGTGGTTACTATACTTTGCACTCTCAACTTCAGGTTCTGTAATGTATTATTTTTTTGTATGCATTATAGGATAAGCCAAAGTGGGTTCAAAGATGTTACAAGTTGATTTACTTATTCATTTTTTTTTTTTTTTTTCCTCTGCTAGGTGGGTTATCCCAATGTTGGCAAGAGTTCAACCATTAACACAATCCTGGGAAACAAAAAGGTTTCTGTTTCGGCAACTCCAGGACATACAAAGCACTTTCAGGTATTTGATGTGATTGCCTTTCTGAAAAGACAATCTTGTTTGCTGGAGTAACAGTTATGTAATTAGAATGACACCAGATCCTGTTGTTGTCTTGAAAAATAGTGACACCCATCTGTATGTTCTTTAAAGGTATAGCACAATTGCTTTGCTTGGATATTTCTCACCTCTTTCCATCGCATTTCCTATCATAACAACTGTAGTAATACAAACAGTAATTTTTGACAATCCAACATAAGATTATAGATTGGATGTGTTTTTATAGCAGAAAATAAAATATTGTTTTTGGTTTGTAGTTATGTTTTTTTTTGTTTTGTTTTGTTTTGTTTTTTTTTTTAACGCAAAAAGTAAAAGACGCAGTGCTCAAATACCACCAAAATAAAGCTCTATTTGTGGGAAAAAAAAATACATAAGTTTCATTTATGTACAGAGTTGCATAAGCACACAATTGTCCGTTAAAGTAACGCAGCACCATAATCGCACAATTTGGCCTGGTCATGAAGGGGGGTAAATCTTCCGAAGGTCAAGTGGTTAATCAAATCCCCTTTTTGTTCTTGAGCTTCAGTACTAATTCATGAAGGTGACCAGTTAAGCTGTCTGTATCTCTAGATCTACTGATCTTTTCAATATGCAGTTTCACACCTCTGCTTTATGGATTTTTTTTTCATCATATGGTCAATTTTCATTAGCTTTAACCCCCCTTCCATTTCAATTTAATCACTTGCTTTTTAAGACCTATACTTAGTCCATATTTGTCTTATTTCTTTTACTTTGTATAATGGTGCAGACATTTTGGGGAGCTTTAAATAGATATTAATCATATACAGTAGAGGCAGGCAAACTTCAGCCTTCCATCATACCTCTGGAAATCTTGCATATGGCTGTCAGTCTTGCAATGCTTAATGGTTCTTGTACTTCCACAGCAGCTGGAGGGACAAAGTTTGTCTGCCCTTCAAAGGCAGTATTATAAAGATGTGTGTATGTGTAAATTAATGTCACTTTCTTCTGTTGTAGACCCTGTATGTGGAATCTGGCTTGTGCCTTTGTGATTGCCCAGGTCTTGTAATGCCATCCTTTGTCTCCACCAAAGCAGAGATGATATGTAGTGGTATTCTACCGATTGACCAAATGCGAGACCATGTCCAACCAGTCTCTCTCATATCCTTTTAAAAAAACAATTCCTGGCAATACTGAACTTTGTGGCATTTTATTCAAGTTTATTGTCCAAACAATTTTTTCTTATATTCATAATAATATAAAAAAGCTAATCTATATTTTGCAGCCTTGTCAGTTATGGAGTTTATAACTGCTGTTTATTATCCTTGTTCTTTTTATTTAGACAATCTGTAGTTCCACCTGCTTGCACATAGTGAATCAAAGTTGCATATTGCCAAGTTTGTTATAGCAGTCAACAGGTCACAGTGTATATGGACATGGCTGTCCAGTGCCCTCACACTTGCTCATTAATTATAACCTAGTTCAGACCTGTTCTTAGAACAGGCACAGCTGTCAAGTACATTGACACTTGAAATGTGCGTGGGCTAAAGTGCTGATGACACAAGCTTATTTATCATGCAGCACCACTCTTCTTGTAGCATTGTTTATTTCTCTGAAATGCACAAAAATGATTATTGGGCTCCATTCACAGCAAGATGTCATGGTGTATTTCATTAACATGCGCTACCTTAAGGCAGTTCATTCAAATAAATGGGCTGGCAATGGAACTAAACTTCGGAAAAAAACTGACATGCAGCATTTTTTTTTTCTACAACACAGTGCTCCACAACACATGGTAGTGTTTTAACTGTGTGCTATGTGCATTCCCTTGGTCCATTATGGGGGGAGCATTAGAAATCAGTGGCAGTGCCTGGATTGTCCCTTTTTGTATTTATTATAATCTTTATCTCTATAAAATCTTTTGTAAAAAGAAGAAAAAATGCAACAGTCTAAATGGGCCCTTACAATTGTGTGCAGAAACTTGTGAATTTCTTCCTGTAGCCATGGTTTGTGTCGCTGGCTTGTGACAACTGGAAAGGCCGGAGCTTGTCAGCCTAAATGCGCTTGTTTTTACGTCCTTACTGCTAAAGAATAATGTAAATAATTTGCATTCCATAGTCTGAGCACAGGTTCACTTTACTTTTGGCAGCCTTGGTTCACCTCCTGTAAGGGAGACTGTTTCTTTTCTTTAGGGAAACACATCTTCATTGTAGATTTTAATTTGTCAGTCATTGAAGACCATTATATATTTTTCATTGTATATTCTGAGGTGCTCACTCCATTTTTAGTAATACTAGTATACAGTAATTATATAACAATATTATACTTCTGAGGAGCCTTGGGTTATCTAGTTGCCTATGCTGTTTGTTGATTTCGGACTGTACCATAATGTTCAACTTTAGATTTGTTATATATTTCCTTTTTATTGGGGTTTCAGTATTTCTTAACTGACATACATTGCGCAGCAGATCCCACGATATGCATTAGAGGCCATTTATGGGATCAATATTATCAGACCTAGAGAAGATGAAGATCAGGACCGTGCTCCAACCTCAGAAGAGCTGCTGTGTCTGCTTATGGGTGTAAGTTTCAACATTTAGTTCGCTGAGCCACTGTTTTATAAAGAGAAAATGAGTGCTGTAGATCACGTTCGTGCTTGCAAATGTTTGTTCATAATTTCCTATAAGGGTATTTTGTATATATCAAATTAGGGATGCACCGATACCCTTTTTTGATTGACGAGTACCAGTACTTTCGGTCAAGTACTTGCCGATACCAAGTACCAATATTTGCTGTGTGCGATTTGAACAGGAATACGGTTCCTGTGCAAATCGCATGAGGTTTTCTCACTGCTCCTATGTGAACCCAGGCTTGTCATAGGAGTCTTTGGGACCTGTGTATCCCTCTCTGCGACTGGGGGCTAGCCCTGTAGACTTCTATGGTGCGCTACTTTTTTGTCAGATTTAAGTGTTTAAAATTAATAGAACAATCTTTTGTGCATAAAGTAAGGTGAAGGACCATTCAAACATCTGGTAAGCATTGGCATTAAATGCACATGGACATGAGAAGACATGATATTTCCTTACTTTCAGTCCTACCTCTTTTATTTTAACATGCACATCCCCCTTATTTGAGCATGAATGCAATTTAAGGTCCATCACTGAATGGCCTTTAAAAAGAGCCCAATTCCTGTTTAGAAGTTCTCCAAAGGCAGATTTACTTCATGTAGTTGAGCAGAACTGATAAATTTGTTGACATGTACTAATAATGGAAATGTATTCTTACAGATATGAGGGGATTCATGACCGCACATGGGCAGCCGGATCAGCCAAGGTCTGCACGATACATATTGAAGGACTACGTCAGTGTACGTTTCACACATTTTCATTAGAAGCCCTAAAATAAAATGAGCACTCAGGAAAATGATTGTTTCTGTGGACTATTTAAACCGTGTATTTTCTGTGTTAGGGTAAGCTGCTGTATTGTCACCCCTCCTCCTGGGATACATCCGCCAGACTTCCAGCCTCGGCACACTGTATATCGGGAAAGAAAAGTACCATGTGACAAAGCTGAAGCAAGGGCTCACAACAGCAAGAAAGTCAAACACATTGAAAACGTGGTAGACAAAAACTTTTTCCATCAGGTATAGTTTATGAATCTCCTATGTTCTCTTCATTCTTACAGAAACATTTTAAAATTTCCGGTATAGAATCGAAAATAGTTTATTTGCTGCACAATAATATGTCATAAAATCGGTGGCATGCCTGGCTTCTTACAACCTGTATGGCTCTACCATGAACCTTGGCTTGCATGTGCCTGCATATAATAGTAATAATTGCACTTCCTACGTCCTTTTACTTTCAGGAATATGCAGACCTTCCCCAGTCTATCATTCTGCAAATAATACAAGATGGTCAGGAAATAAGAATATTTTATTATAAAATATTTTTGTAACATAGCTAGAACCCTGCACCAATTTCCTTTACTGTGGGACAGTTACAGAACCACATTACTAAAGCTGAATACATAAAGCCACATGCTGAAGTATCAGATCAACACAGCTTACCAAGACCTGTGTAGTGGGGTGCCTGTTTGGATATATTTTAGATGGATTACTTAGGCAGACCCTCACAGTACATAGGTATTTTTCCAGTTTGCTAATTTGGTAAGGATTTGATTTTATATATCCAGCTTTTAAAGTGTTACTAAAGTCAAATCATTTTTTTAAATAAAATAACAAACATGTTTTACTCACTTACTTGCAGTGGTATTGCACAGAGCAGGCCCTATCATCCTCTTCTCTCGGGTCCCTCACCAGCAATCATGACTCCTCTTCTTCCTGCATGCTTACTCCTGAGCTGTGTGTCTATGGAGCTGCATGCCATAGACTTACATAGCGGGACATAGCCCCGCCTCCTACTTCCTTCTCACTGCATTTGATTGATCGATAGCAGCAGGATCCAATGGCTGTGGAAAGGGGAAGAGATGCAGCTGTGCACATTGCTAGATCTATTCTCCCCTCTTCCCCTTCACACAGGGAAAGGGGGGGGGACAGAAAAATAGAAATAGGTTTTTCACCTTAATGCAAGGAATGTATTAAGGTAAAATGTTTTCTTCTTTAGTATCACTCCATGTATCTGAAAGGTAACCTTTACTGCAATCCAAATTTCAGTCAAGCTGGTACAGTACAACAACCTGCAAGGAAAGCTAAAGTGGCTTAAAAAAAAAAAAAGAAAAAAAAAGGTGCCTTAAACTTCAAGTGGCAAGTCTAAACTTAATTAAGCTCAGATCTACTCCCATCCCCATTCTAAGCCTTTTCTGTCTACCCTGTAAAAGGAGAGATGTCTATACTTACCTGATCTAAAGTTGCTCCAGTCCTGCCACATGATTGGGCCCCTGCATCGGCCTCAGTGTAGTGAAGGGATAGCTGACAACATGCCCTATAGTAAGCCTATTGGTTTCATCACCATATAGACTTTACAGCCATTATTGGCGATTTCTCCTTTACAGTGAAGCTGGCACTGGAGAGATCATGTGACTGGACCGGAGAGACTTTAGAATAGGTAAGTATAGGCATCTTTCCTTTTACAGGGTAAATAGAACAGGCTTAGAATTGGAATTGGGAGTAGATTTAGGCTTAGTTAGGTTTTGACTGGAATTACACTTTAACTTTAGATCTCATGTTACAGCTTAGACATCGTGCATTCTTCCCTGCAATGTACTGTGCCTCTATGGTTAGAGCAGAGCTGCTCACTAAGAAGCTTCCCAGGAAACATGTACTGGGAGAGTTATGAAGGCTTTCAATGCTGAGGCCAGCTCTGGATTCTGTACTTTGAGGCAGTGACTGGTAGCAACCATTGCAGCACACTGCAGCAAAATTTTGAACACCAGAACTGTAATTGTTCTGGGCCAGTGCCTCAAAATATTGAAGTTATTGCAGTAGCATGATGAGCAATAAGAGTGCTTAGCAATGGCATCCTGCCTATATCATTTAGGGGAAATGGTCAACAATGCATAAACTGTATTTAGGAAAGTGGAATAAGAATTATCCGTTACCTTTTTACCTTTACTTCCAGGAATCAGATGATTGTTTGAATAATATACAAATGATGGAAATTAGACTGCTAGTTGTTTGTTCATGATATAGCATTTTATCCTGTAAGGCCTTCCTTTTTTTTTTTTTTTTAATTTTTCAGGAGAATGTCCGTGCTCTGACCAAAGGTGTGCAGTGTGTGATGGGGTACAAGCCGGGCAGTGGCCCTATGCCATTAACTACAGTCAGCACAGAAAGTATATCTGGAAAGCCTTGGAAAAAGCATGGAAATAGAAACAAGAAAGAAAAGATTCGGAGGCTTAACAAGCACCTGGATGCTTGACAGTGTATTAAGGAGCTCTGAACTCTACACTTTAAATTGTGCCAACCAAATGGAACTGATTTTTAACATTTGAAGCTAAATTTCAACTTTGTATATATGCCATTCCTCTGTATGACCTATTTCTACAGCAATCATGACCACACTACCATGTGGATAAATTATTCAACAACAGTTGTTTTGTCACCAATTACATAAAACTTTATATTTGCTTTTATTTTATTTTTTTTTTTAAACCATCTATTTCAATCTGTGGGTCAGCAAGATAGTAGCATTACGGAATGTCACTGACACAGCTGCAGTGTGATATGCTAAGTGACAAGTAATATTTAATGTTGAATATGTAAGGTACTGCACCTGATAGCATAGCCCTCTATGCGTTAAGTAGGATAGATACAGTCATTGCTCACGTGGAAAAAAAAAAGGATCTAGTCTTGCTACAGGGAAACTGAGGAATATGACTTTCTGGTAAAAGCTCTCTTTTGTAATTGTGATTGCAATACACGGAATCCACGGCTTTGTCAATTCCTAATAGACTGTATCTGCTTCCTCCAGGCTGGTAATCAATATAAAACAATATAGAGCAAAGAGAGTGCACAAGCATTTGGTGACACTTTCATGAAACCTTTATTATTAAAAATGCGGTCGCTAAAACAGCTGTGATGAAGAGGGTTTGCCCTTTAAACCAGTCAGCGGTAATGCATGCTTTCTGACTGGATCTGCTGTAGAGATTTCTTTCAGTGAAGGTAGAGCAGGTGGTCTCCTGGATGCTATTTTATGGGACATAGCAAGTCTATAAAGAAAGCTTGTGAGCGCCAGATTTTACTACTATTGCATTTTCTGTTTAATGCTATTCTATTTAATACTATAGAACAAACAGATCTGAGAGGTGGGGAAGGATTTGGGATTATAGGTTAATATTACCATAACAGCACCACTCAATGGCAAGTGGCAGCTGCAAAAGCAAACAATTAGCAGATAGAAATACATTCTCCTAAAATAGTATTCCCTTTTGAAATCACTTGTAAACCACAGCTAGAATATGGGAACCAACTTTGGGAACCACATTGTAAAAACATTAGACTTTTGGAGAGGGCTCAGAGGTGGTAACCTAATTGGAGAAAACAAAAATCTCTACCTAGTCCTACCAGATCTGTGTATTTAACCATATAAATATCAATATCGATCCGGTAAGGGAGCCATCCACTACCAACAATACTCTCAAAACTTGTAAAGAAAAAAAATGGATGTGGACTCATCCTTACCCATACCATTCAAAAGAATTAAAAAATTAGTGTCTCAAAAAAGTACGTGAAACATACTCAATGATGGCATTCAATTGATAAAAACAATTATTATACTTTATTTAAACTAAGTAAAGGACATGAATATAGACACACAACTAGTACATATTGGTTGTTAAAATCTACCCACCAGCAGATCACCAATACTTGTACCAAATATATTAAGAAGTAGATAGAATATGAGCCCTCTTTATAGGTATATATTTAGACTGAAATGTGTATATGGTGGCCACCAGAAATAACTAGCTATAAATTATGACTTGCTGCTTTAACAAGATGTTTTATAGAGATGGAAAGCCCCTTATCATAGGGTCTCATTGGGTTCCTCAATATATTAAATTAAAGTACAGCTAGATCATGCACAAGTGATGTTAAATGCTCAGTATATAGAATTCTTGTAATAGAGTGGTCAGATATGCCCCTCCTGGCAAACATGGGCTGCCTCCCTCACACCAAGTATCTATAATATAGGGGTTTTAGGAGATGAATCCTTCAATGAATCAAAGGTTGTTGATCTCAATGCTGTGGTCCAGAGGAGGTAGTTGGGGCTATAAAAAGATAGGCCACCTCCCTCTCACAGACCTTCATATAGATATACAAATCACTGTAATCCATGGGTATAGTCAAGGAAGAGACCATATCATCCCTAAACAAGCATGTCAATACAAGTCGGCCTCTATGCATATGAGCTGTATAAAATCCCATTAATAATGGATCCTTAAACAAAATGATATCGCTTTGGCAGTGAATTTAACATTGTCAGATTACACACACTGTAAACTTGGCATGATGCGTGTTGAACGGCAACAAAAAGACAAATTCAGTCCCCAGTTGAATATCAAATCACACTGATGGCAAACTTTGGCAACTCGCATGTTAGCAGCAAATAGAGGCAAGTTTAGTCCCCAAATGTGTTCCAAACTAGTTCAGTTACTCATTTGTCATAGTATGTTAAAAGCAGCCATTTGTTAAAGATCATATTTATCAGTAGCACCATGATAGTCCTTGGATGGTGTATGGTGGGCTGGTGCCATTCTTTCTTAACAAGTTTTGAGAACACCTAATTAGAGAAATGGAAAATCTCATGGTCAAAATAGGGGTATGCACAGTTAGGGAAATAGTACCTCTTATAGGTGACTTAAGTTGGCCATACATTATACAAATTTTCTTTAGATTTACCAAAGACCATATAATATGAGGTCAAACCCAAACAACACTTTCAGTTGTATCCAATTAGGCAGGCCCTTGCACTACATAGTTGAAGGTAAACCTAAAGGAAATTGGACAGAAAATTGTATAGTGTTGGCCAGCCTTAAGTAACATAACTGGATAAATCTAAGGCAAATATAAAGATTTGGCAAACTTCTTTGTCCAAGGAGATCATTTCTGTATGGAAACCTTTACTATACATTTAAGAAGAGGTTCTGTGTGGTAAGAGTAGAATGTTTTAATGGATGAGGTAGCAATTGCAAAAACAATAATATAAAAAAAAATAAAAACATCTATCCGAACATGTACGTACTTTAAAGTGAGCCCTTAGAAATGTTTCTGCTCTGATGTGGCCAAATTAGTAACAGTTCCTAGTGTGTGGGGGGAAAGGGGAGGTAAATGGTTTGCAATGCCTTCCTCAAAACTCCAGGATTTTTTTTTTTCGTATCCTTTTTATTTGCTTTTTAAATATAAAGAATACAAAACAGCCAGTTGGGCATACCCTGACTCAAGCACTATACAATAAAACAAATGAAACCATACAGCTTACTAAAGTATGAAAACTAGGGCATGCTTAAATCCACCAATGAAAAGTAATGGGCAGAAGGAAAGATAACGTGGTCCATTAGAGCCTCATTGACCCCATAAGAGATTAAACTGCAGGATTTTTGAGAGGCGGAATTTGATGGACATTAGTCTAACTATGGAACATGATAATAATAAACCCTATATGAAGTAGAAATCATTATTGTTCTTTTAAAAGAATGTATTTTGGCTTTTTGTGGTTTTTGTATTTTATTTTTGTTTTTCAGGACCAAAAAAAAAAAGTTATATATTTTGCATTCTTCTTTTGAGTCAGCAGGTGGAGCTGGTCTTCATTTCATGTTTTACAGACTGCTTTGCTTTTTTAAACAAGTTATAATTTACAGAACTCAGCACTCACCCTGTCTCAGAGAACATAGTAGATGGAGCTGATGATTATACTAAACGAGCCACACAGCATTTTTAATCATAGCTTTTATTGAAAGTTTCAATATAAGGCATATACTAATCAAAGAAAAAAATTGTATAAAAAAAGGGAGGCAGTTAGAATTCGGGTATTAGGTTTCAATCCCTACAGGTTGTGAACTCGATACGGTAATCCTTCCATCTGCATGTGACATACTGAGGGAGATGTACTAAATCTTGTGCACTCGGAATCTGGTGCAGCTGTGCATGGTAGTCAATTAGTTTCTAACTTTGGCTTGTTCAGTTAAGCTTTGACAACCTGAATGCTGATGAGGTTTTTGTGCATTGCTACACCAGATTTTGCACCATGCAATAAATTACCCCCACTCTTTCATGATTGCATCCACACTTACAAGAACTTTCTATGGGACATTTTCCCAATTCATCTTCCAGGACAGCACATGACAGCAGCTCCACCTACCTAAAACAGGAAACACATCATCCACAGTCAAATAAAAAGCATCACCTAGAGTTTCTCATAATTTGTGTTTCCTCTGGCCTAGCAGGAATATCAGAATGGTTTGTTATTTTTCCCTCAGGCCTCTGTATCTGTTGCCCCATGATTCCAGGTACAGTTGACTAGGAGGGGTTGCATATCTGGGGTTTTCTAGGCATCCTAGTTGTGGGATCTTCCCTCCCCATCATCTTTTTGGTTTCCGCTAAGGTTCCTTCTGGGCCAGAGGAGAAGCAACTATCACTGCGGATGCCGAGGCTCTAGTGGAGGCCCTCCCTTACTCATATTTGGTCAGGCTCTGAGCCCTTGGTGGCTGGTTGAACCCCTGATGTATGCTGCTGAACTGGTATTGAAATTTCTTCATTATTTTTAGTTGCAGGGAAGCAGTTTCAACAATCTATGCACTGTCTCAACTAGTTTTGCACCATGCCATAGGATCTTTTTTTTTTTTTTTTTGCCGGTGTTTATCCACTTAAGGCAGCAGTATAACCCATCTGTAAATTATTTCTACTGTTCTGATATTGAAAAAAAAAAAAAAAATATATATATATATATATATATATATATATAAAATATTAATTTGGGAAACACTTATAAAGACAGTAGGGCAGACTTGTGGCATACAAGGTGATGCCAAAGCCCACACTTTTCTTCAACTGAGATGGGTTCTGCTTGCCTTCTAGGCCAGTGTGCCTCAATTGCTCCACTGTCCATTTATTTATGACGAGCTTGGTCAAATGAATCCAGGTTTTGTTAACATTTCCTTAACCAAGATGTGTACTCACTCCTCCTTGCATTAAAAACTTTGTGATTCTGTATATTTAGACCAGAACAAAATTGTTAGTACCCTTCTAGGCAAAAACAATACTGTTTTCTATTAAATAACTGGAAACTAACCAAGATTGTTGCCATCCATCACTGTTTATTCCAAATTGTATAAATATTGATTTCTAATCAGAAATATTTGAAATGATAAAATGGAATGGACAAAAACAAAAATTATGGATCCTTTAACCAAATATTTTGTT